ACGCGGTGCGACGCGCTCATTTTTTCCAGGCGTGACCGCGCCGCATCGAGATAAACACATTTCAACTTTTCAGAATGCCGCAAGCGCACCGCGGGTCATGTGACAAGAACCAACCAATCAGCTTCATCCTTTCCCGTAACAACATTGAAAGCTCAGCCAAGATGAAGGAACAGCTGATCATAGCTGTACAGGGATAGCCATTTTTTAAATAAATTTAGTAGTAGAGCTACTGCAAGCGATTTTTAGTGCTGCAGATCCATTTACACTTTGCTGAAACTTCGGCGTCTTCATGGACAGCGCAGGTCAAGGTTGCTTAGCAACGGCAGACGCCTCCGGAGCGCAAGCGCCCGAACGCTTTGGGAAAAAGCAGAAAGCGGCGCGCCTAGCGTTTTCCACGCGTTTTTAGGCGCGACATGTGAATGGCCCCTAAGCTGTTGTAAATTACTCTACAAACATACACCTTTGTTTACTTCTGTGTGTTGCTCGGCAACCACTTTGTTGGAACCACAACTGTTTCTGAGGAACTACATTGTTTGGTGGAAGAATACTGTTTTTATTAATATCATTACACTTTATTTGCTTTGTTTTATTTTGTGAAACCTTGCTACATATATGGAATAACCGTTTTATAAAAGATATAAGCCCCGTGAAGCTGTGGTTTACAGTGAATTTATAACAGCTAAAGGGGTTTTAGCAACACCCCTTAGCTGTTATAAATTCACTGTAAACCACGGCTTCTTGGGGCTTATTGCTTTAATGTATTATAAACAATAGAGCTAATGTACATTGCACATGACGACCTGCCGATTGTTTTTTACACTTTACTGCGCGATCTAATCCTTGTTTAATATTGACTAAACGACATTTCATTCAAATGTCCACTTAATCTTTAATATTACGACAGAAATGCTACAGCCACTGTAATTTCTTGCATATGTGGACATCGAAACGTGTAACTCGGGAGTGCGGGTTTGAGCTTTTATTTTGAAATCGCGATGAACAGTAGCACGTTTCGAAAGATATTGATGTTTTCTCCTGTGCTTGTGTAGGTTTAGAAATGATTTACCTTACAAATCTGATAAAATGGTGCACGCTGCGTTCCCAGATCAACGTTATAATAAATCCAAAACTCACAACAACATGCAGGCAGAGATGGAGTTTGAGACGCTCCACACATGTAAATGATAACAGTTTGTGAAAGTACATAAGACCTCCGTCTCACCCTGTACGGTTTTGCCCAGGTAATCTCCCCTGCGCTCTTTGTTGATAACAGACTGGTAGATTTTTCCGGTGGTCAGGTTGTTGTCTTTGGTGAGCCTGATGTCCAGAAAACGCTCATAGTTGCCCAGATCCAAATCCACCTCTCCCCCATCATCCAAAACAAACACCTCACCTACACAAAATACAACACATTCATATAAAGACCACAGAGCTCTACGACCATCACCCGTTTTAATAACAAAGATGTTTTAAACTCTATATCTCAAGATAGATTTATACACGTTCTCGAGTAGTGAGTGGTTGTGATGCTAAGGAGTTGTTTTGTAGCTACGAGGTCGCTTCTGAGGGGTTTGAGCATGCTCCGAAGCTATTAGGGTGTGTTGGGCGATTGCTAGGTGGTTGCTTGTTTTTTTCCAAGTGGCTGTTTAGCATGTTGCTGTGTTTTCTCAGGGAGGTCTACATGGTTGGTTGTCCACCCCAAAGTCTCTAGGATATACTGGTCTCTAGACTTCTAGAATTGTTATCAATTGAAATTAATGTAATCAGATTTCAGATTTTGTCTGCAATTTGACCTATTCATTTATATGTGGATTACATCTATTCTAAAACAATTAAAATTGACATTTTTGAACAGTAAGATTTTAAATGTTTTTTTTAAAGAAGTCTCTTCTGCTCACCAAGCCTGCATTTATTTGATCCAAAAATACAACAAAAGCAGTTATATTGTGAAATATTTTTACTATTTAAAATAACTGCTTTCTATTTGAATATATATTAAAATGTAATTTATTTCTGTGAACAAAGCTGTATTTTCAGCATCATTACTGCAGTCTTCAGAGTCACATGATCTTCAGAAATCAGTGTAATTATGCTGATTTGCTGCTTGTGTAGCCTTATACATATATTATATACACATTATATATATTTTTTTTTTTTCTTTTTTTGGGGGCGGGGTTTATAGGATTATAGAAATTAATACTTTTATTTAGTAAGGATGCTTTAAATTGATCAAAAGTGATGATAAAAACATTTATAATGTTACAAAATAATTTTATTTTCAGATAAATGCTGTTCTTCTGAACTTTCTATTCATCAAAGAAACCTGGAAAAAAATTCTACTCCGCTGTTTTCAACAACAACAATAACAATAAATGTTTCTTGAGCAGCAAATCAGCATATTAGACTGATTTCTGAAGATCATGTGACTCTGAAGACTGCAGTAACGATGCTGAAAATACAGCTTTGTTCACAGAAATAAATTACATTTTAACATATATTCACAAAGAAAACTCCTTTTAAACAGTAAAAGTATTTCACAATATTACTGCTTTTGCTGTATTTAGGATCAAATAAATGCAGGCTTGAGCAGAAGAGACTTCTTTCAAAAACATTTAAAATCTAACTGTTCAAAAACTTTTGACTGGAAGCGTATATATTTACCAGATAATTGCCTAGTTTGTTCAAATAATAATAGTGATGCTTGCATTTAGCAAGCAGCTTCTTTTGTGGCAAGTTATAATCATTTGTTGTCCACTTAAAGGGTTAGTTTACCCAAAAAAATGAAAATTAGCTTGTGTTTTACTTCCTCTCGAAGCATCCTAGGTGTATATGACTTTCTTCTTTCAGACGAATCCAGTCGGAGTTATATTAAAAACTGTCCTGGCTCTTCCAAGCTCTATCATTGCAGTCAGCAAACGGATCCGCGTATGACAGATAACGGAAGTGAGAGAAAAGTGTTTATTACGTTTGAAATATGGATATTTTTCTTACAAAAACTCATGGATTCGGTACAGGGGGCCTTTATTCATCCCCCGGAGCCGTGCGAGGCACGTTTTATTATGAATGCGCGCGCTTTATTTGACGACTTGTGGACTGTTCAACTGCAACACCCGCTGAGTGGCATTAAACAGCTTGAAAGATCAAAGACCATTTTTAATATAACTCCGACTGGATTCGTCTGAAAGAAGAAAGTCATATACACCTAGGATGCATCGGGGGTGAGTAAAACACAGCCTAATTTTCATTTTTGGGTGAACTAACCCTTTAAGATTTGTAGATTTAAAATGAGTAATCATCTTATTTGATCTGCACGACACTAACACTGACCTGTAATGATTGATATCAGACGTGGATGGATCTAATCTATGAGGAGTGGTGTGGGGTTACCGTGCTCGTACGGCGAGAAGGTCCCTGCATCTATGTTGATGTAGGGGTCGATCTTGATGGCTGTGACGCGCAGGCCGCAGGACTTGAGGATGGTTCCCACGCTGCTGGCTATAATGCCTTTCCCGATGCCCGAGATCACGCCGCCCGTCACCAGAATATACTTCATTCTGCCAATCACAGGCTGGACAAACGAAAAGACAGGATTTATTTTATATGACAGTTCATGGTTGCACAATTTAAGGGAGCATTGATTTGTATGGTTTCTTGTTAAGAAGCAGATTTCGTCATCATTTAACAAGTGCAATCTCACTCAAGCCAAACTCTGTCTCATGAGCAAACACTTCTTGAAGTGCTGAGAAAGCCTTTGACTGGATATCAAATCAATGATCTATGGGTTTCCTTCTTCTCTATTAATACTTGAGAACACTGTCCTCACCACTTGCATTAATCACCAAATATCTCAAAGTCAGAGGTTTACAGCAAATCACACTGCAGTGAGCAAATAAAACTGACCAGTGACTCATGCATTGAAACCGTAGGAAATAAAGTTACACACATTTTTTACAGCTGATCGTCTCCATGAGGAAAATATCATGCTATCCTTGGCAAAAGTGTTAAGCATTACCATAGTTTCTAGTTACTTACTACAGCCATTACTTATAAAAAGATAAAATATGAACAATGTATCAATTACCGTCAGAAAGCTTTCGATCATGCGGTTTTGTTAATTTATTATTTGATGATAATGTTCGTAATTATACCAAGCTACCACACTTAAAAAAAAAGAGCAGTAGCTGTGGTAGTAACACTGAATAACATGGTAAAAGATGTATAACTGATAAAAATAGGACCATAAGTTTGTTACACCTCTATATAGAGGCTACGATACCAAAAGATGATCGTTTAATAAAAAACAACTTCGCTTCGCTTTCTATATAACTTAGTAACGTTATTGTGGAGAGTGCTGTGGTGTCTCTAGTTTCCACATCCTTCGCGAGCACGCTTCCCGCAACAAAGCTCAACTTACCGGGTGATCTGATGAGATATTTGGATATTTAGTGTAAAATGCTCGACCGGCCCGATGTGACAGATGTTGAACGATCTCTACAGCACAAAAGCAGCTGTTGTAAAGAGAAAATAAACGAGTGCACATCACACTTGCGCTCGCCGCTCATCTACACGTGCTGCTCGAGCTCAGACTGCAAGCCGGAGCGTTTCTTCTTCTTCTTATGTGACTACAGTTCCCAGACTCATGCTTATTCATTTTATATAGAGAAGAATTTAAAGCAGTATGGCCAATGCGAAGTCTGGTAATAATTGTATCTTCTCTTCTACTACCAAAATTAACTCTTTCAACCCCAACTTGATTTTGAATATGATAAAGATGTCTTCCTCTCTCGTCCTTATTCCAAACTTCTTACCATCTCATTTTAATTGCTGTTCTAATTTTAGCCTTAACTTCTTCTTTGCTTAGTGGAATATCAACTTCTATATGTGATAATTTCAGCGCCTGTTTTGCTAAATGGTCCACAACCTCATTTCCATCCACTCCCACGTGTGCTGGAACCCACACGAATCTTATTCACTCTATACATACATAAAATAATTTCACAGAAAATGTCTTGTCTTGAAGATCTTCCACTGATAAGGCTTGATAATGCAGAGAATGAATCTGAACATATCACCGCATTCATTGGCCGAGTATCCTCCATCCACCTGATAGCTAATAATATTGCTACCATCTCTGTAGTGTAAACTCCTACTTGATCAGAAACTCTTTTACCAATCTTGATTTGATAAGTTGGGACAAATACAGCTGCTGATGCTCGTCCTGTCTCGTGATCTTTGCAACCATCAGTGAAAATTGAGATTGCCGAGTTGTAATTCTGTTCTAGATACAGTTTAACCATAACATCTTTTGCTATTACTTTATTTTTGTCATTAATCATTTCTTGCAAATTGAAGTCTACTAATGGTAAAGGGAATAACCAGGGTGAAATTGGTGACACTACTACTGTAGGGCTTATTTCTTATTCCACATGACTGGGCTTCTTCTTCTGCTATCCTTCCAAAACTTCTAAACTTGTCTGACTCATATTCCTAACAGTTTCCCAATACTTTTTTAATTGGATGAGTTTCATTATGTCCCTGAGGAGGCGCGTTTCTTCTTCTTCTTATTAGTTTTATGGCGGATTGCAACCATGACTTATCAGGTGCATACCGCCACCTACTGTATCGGAGTATGCAGCATGGATTATATCTCAATGGACCTCATTCATGAAACACGAGCAGAACTAATTTTTGTGTAAATCGTTCGTAAAGCTGTTCTGACGTAAATTTTCGGACTCATGAAAGTGTTCGTATTTTCCAAATGTTTTAGTTGGTACACAAAACATTTACACCTGCTCCCAGCCCCGCATAAATGGTGTGCAAAACATCCAAATGTTTTGCTCATTGATGGCGCTACATTTTAATAAACTATTTACCTTACATAATCACGTATGTATCACGCAGCATTTTAATAAAATATACAGTAATTATATACAGTATGTTTGTGTTTTTGTTTTTACTATTATTATGAACACCAGTATGCTAATAGAATCTGCAAACTTAACACTTTAGCCTAATCAAATAATTAATTACTTCTGTTAGGGACGTACCAATTAGACTGATAATTATTATGGAAATGGTTTTCTATAAAATGGCCAGAATCAGGCATAACAGTAAACATTTCCTATGGCTGATATAGCGCTATTGCTAGATTTGGCAGACAGAGCGCTGCATAAAAGACGTATTTTTAGAGACTGTGCAGACTTACTTGCAGAGAATGATGACTGGTTGATTAGTCGTTTCAGACTATCCAGACCACTTCTTTTGTATTTATGCAGTATATTGGAGGCCAAACTCAGAAGGGAAACAAGAAGATCCCACAGCCTTCCTGCACACTTGCAGGTGCTGTCCGTGCTTGGTTTTTTGGCAACAGGAACATTCCAGCGGGAGATTGCAGACAGGTCAGGGATATCTCAGTCATCCATGAGTCGCATCATCCCAGATGTTCTTGATGGCCTAATACGGCTACTGCCTCAATATATAAAATTCCCCTATAACCTAGTCCATCAGTTGGAAGTGAAGCAGAGATTCTTTGCAATTGCAAACCTGCCAAACGTCATCGGGGCAATTGACTGCACACGTGCATCAAGGCGCCATCAAATGATGCATTTGCATTTCTGAATAGGAAAAACTTCTTATCTTCTTATCTTTCCATGAATGTGCAACTAATTTGTGATGCTAAATGAGCCGACCTCCATACGTCATCCGCCCAGAACTGCTTCCGTGTACAACAGTGAGCGCAAGCTAGATTAACGTGATTATTAAGTTTTGAATATGGATATTTAAAAACGCATCGATTCGCTACAGAAGGCCTTTGTTTACCCCCCAGAGCCGTGTGAGACACTTTTTTATGGTTGAGCGCTTTTTATTTAACTTGTTTTGGACTGAAGCATGCAACACCCGCTGAGTGCCATGAAACAGCTTGAAAGATCAAAGACAATTTTTTATATAACTCCGACTGGATTCGTCTGAAAGAAGAAAGTCATATACACCTAGGATGACTTGAGGGTAAGTAATTTATGGGCTAATTTTCATTTTTGGGTGAACTAACATTTTAATGTAGTGGCCCGCTGGCCAGGTGGAACTCATAATAGTTTCATCCTTCGGAGCAGCTCAGTTGGCAGACGTTTGGACAGTGGTGCAGTTGAAGATGGTATGGTGCGTGGTATGGTGCCTCCAAGGTCGCCTATCCGAAACATGGTCATATCTGTGGCTGCAGTTGCAAAGCGTCAGGAACTAATTCAATATTTCTAAGAGTGCATGTATGCGATTAAAAACAAGCACACAAAATAGTTGCTGTAAACTTTATTTTTTGTGTTTAATTGTGTCACATATTTCCTCAAGTGGCAGCTCTCTCATTTCTACCTGTAAGGCAGGAATAGGAGAAGATCTAATCGCTCCACAACATATTCGTAATGCTTGTGACTGTATCATTTCTACTTTCTGCAGCGAACCTTTCGACGCTGAGCCATATGCTATACATCCATAATCTATAGTTGACCTAATTAATGCAAAATTCATTATTTCCAATGAGTGACACCTGCTGCCAATCTACCCCTGCTAAACATCTTAATATATTTAAAACTTTTTTGCATTTATTAATTATTTTTTGTATATGAATTGCAAATGTCAGTTTTGAATCAAACCATGCCCCCAAATATCTTATTGTGGCATTCTGCTATCAAAAGCTTAACACAACGCCAATTATGGCAATGAATAGACTACACCACCCCGGAAATTGGCTGGGGACCCACAGGTACACCAAGTACCACAAGCACCCCAATTCTGAAGGGAAAAGAAAACAAGATGAGAGACAATGTCTCTCATCTTGTTCCGGGCTGCCTGAACAGCAGCGCGGATATGCTATTGAGGGACGGGATTCCTCACGGAGAATGGAGACTGAACCCTGGGACAGTGAGGCTGATCTGGGAACGGTTCGGGAAAGCGGAGGTAGACTTGTTCGCGACAGAGGAGAACACGCATTGCCATCTGTTCTTCTCTCTGTCACGCTCTCCCCTAGGCGGGGACGCACTCACGATGCCGTGGCCGAATGCCCGTCTGTATGCGTTCCCCCCGCTGAAGATTTTGTCACAAGTGCTACACATAATCAGAGAGGAGAAGGCATCAGTGTTATTAGTTGCTCCGTATTGGCCAAACAGGCCCTGGTTTCCCGATCTGCTGGAAATACTAACAGCTCCCCCGTGGCCGATCCCGCTGAGACGGGATCTCATGTCTCAGGCGGACGGCTCGATATGGCACCCCAACCCAGAATGGTGGAAACTTCAGGTGTGGATGGTGTGTGGGAACCGGTAAACCCGGGCTCGTTGTCTCGCCGCGTGATGGACACGATTACGAAGGCGTGAGCCCCTTCTACGAGATGCCTGTACGCTTGTAAATGGGCAGTGTTTGAGAGATGGCGTGAATCGAATGGTCGGGACCCGGGAAATTGCCCCGTGTCTGACATTCTGAATTTTTTGCAACAACGAATGGACGGCGGCAGTATGCCCTCCACTCTTAAGGTTTATGTTGTGGGGGATTTGCATGCGCTCTCTGTGAATGTGGACTGCATGCAGTTTGGACCAGGTGATTGTAACGTCACGCTCAAGCCAAGATTGGGCTACGTGCCTAAATCGCTCTCGACACCGTTCAGAACTCAAGTGATGGCTCTTTCTGCTTTCACTGCAGAGTCGGAGACTTCATTGGATGCCTCCCCGAATCAGGTGTTGTGTCCGGTGAGGGCTTTGCGAGTTTACATCGACCGCACGGCTCAGTTTCAGCAATCTGAGCAGCTGTTTGTATGCTATGGAGGCAGCGCCAAAGGGCAGCCTGTCTCCAAACAACGGCTATCACATTGGGTGGTCGACGCTATTGCCTTGGCATATTCCAGCCGGGGAATGGAATGTCCTATTGGTGTCAGAGCCCATTCAACGAGGGCGGTTGCCTCCTTGTGGGCGTGGACTAAGGGCGTTTCTATCAAAGATATTTGTATGGTGGCTGGATGGTCTTCGCAGAATACCTTTGCCAGATTCTACAATTTGGACGTGTGGTCATTAGCATCACAGGTCCTGTCGGTGAGTACGACCCATGGTTCTACCTGCAACCACTAGCCGTTTGACTGTGCTGGTGGTTTCGACTAGGTCGTGTAGGGGGATCGGGGGCGGGACCATTGTCATGTTCAGACTGTGGCGCCCCGGATGTGGCCATTCTCTATGTGTATTAGTATTGTGCCCGGCCTTGCAGCTCACATGCTTTGTTGCACTGTTATATTACATACTTGTATGCGTTTGACATGACTATAATGTCTTAGCTTTGTATGGCGACGGCGCTGCATCTTTCTCTCAATAAGAGACCTGCCATCGGTCATGGGTTTTGAGTAACCTGATTGGATCCCTAGGCGGGAATCTACATCCAATCCCCTCAAGGCATGTCGCAGGGTCGTATTTGATTGGTTGGGGATTATTTTGAGTGTCTTGCAAGAACTGTTCATGCTAGCTCCGCCAAGCCCGAGCCTTTTTACTTCGCTGCTTCCACGGCGTTGTTCTATACAGTCCCCAAGGCGTTAACGCCATGTCGAGAGACCGTTCTCGAGAGG